ATTGTATATAGTTACACCGGTGATGATTTTATGCTTTTATCTTTGTGCCTGATGACAGATTACTTCCATAGTCACAACAAACCTGAACAAAGTAATTGATGTTAATTACTACCCAGTTGAAAATGCAAAACGGTCAAACTTACGGCACAGACCCATTGGTATTGGAGTACAGGGTCTTGCTGATACTTTCATTCTACTTGGCATGGCATTTGATTCACCAGAGGTAAGTCTTGCCTGTGCTGCTGTTTATATTTGTTTTAGATGCACTTCAGTCTGACAGTTTACTTGGATATTAATGCAGGCTCAGCAGTTAAACAAGGAGATATTTGAGACTATATACTATCATGCTCTAAAGACTTCATCTGATTTGGCTGCAAAAGAAGGTCCCTATGAGACATATAGTGGTAGTCCTATAAGCAAGGTATATAAACTTTAGTGGCTTTCAATTCCCTCCGATTGAAGTCCTAAGCGCAAGTAGATTTTTAGTGTAGTTTTTATCTGATGCAGTGCCACACACCTATGCACCTGCATGGGCAACTTAATTTCAAGGTCTAAAGTTAGTAATCTAGGCATCAAGATATTTCTATTTGCTCAAGTGATTTTTGTACTGTCCAGGGAATTCTGCAGCCGGACATGTGGGGAGTGACGCCCTCAAATCGTTGGGATTGGGATGCACTTCGTGAGATGATAGCAAAGAACGGCGTGAGAAATTCACTTCTCGTGGCTCCTATGCCCACTGCATCTACTAGCCAGATTCTTGGAAATAACGAGTGTTTTGAGCCATATACTTCAAATATATACGGTCGTAGAGTTTTAAGGTATGCTTTTCCATCCCCATGCTATTCTGTATTGGTGTTTTATTATCCTACGAGCATGTCTTATATGATATCTGTTTGTTTCTATGTTTCTAGTGGTGAATTTGTTGTTGTGAACAAGCATCTTCTACATGACTTGACTGAAATGGGACTTTGGTCTCCTACATTAAAGAATCAGATTATCTATAAAGATGGCTCAGTTCAGAACATTCCAGAAATACCTCATGAACTGAAGGCTATATACAAGTATGAGACTTATGATTTTTTGAATAACCAAAATTTTGTTTCAATGTGTTCACTCTAACTAAATTTTGTATGAGCAGAACTGTCTGGGAGATCAAACAAAGGACATTGGTAGATATGGCTGTTGATCGAGGATGCTACATAGATCAGAGTCAAAGCTTAAATATTCATCTGGATCAACCCAACTTCGGAAAGCTGACTTCCCTACATTTCTATGCATGGTCCAAGGTAGCAACATCTCTATTGAAGGAAGTTAAAAACTAACACAGGACTTTTGCTTTTTGTGAAGTGAGATAGATCAGTTATTTACAAATATAGTTGGGTTTAATTGTTTTATCTTGTCTATTTTGTTTTCTTGCTGATTGTCATTATTCTTTACACACACTGTTGGGGTTTTCTATGCCAACTGTTTGTTGAGCAATGTTGTGTTTTTTTTGTTTTTGTTTTTTGTGGTATTAAAGGGTCTAAAGACTGGAATGTATTATCTCCGATCACGTGCTGCAGTCGATGCTATTAAGTTCACCGTTGATACCACTGCTCTCAAAGTAAGAACAATTCATTATGATCAATTTATGTGAAAATGTTTTTGCACATTTTTATATGAAATATTTTTGCTGTGAATGCAGGAAAATTCTAAAGTGGAGGATGATGATAATACAAAAATAGCACAGATGGTGTGCTCTTTAACTAACCGTGAAGAGTGCTTAGCTTGTGGGAGTTGAAAGGTTTCAAAATTGATGCTTCGTATTTATTTTGGGCATGGAGACGACAGGGATAGATGTTTCAAGATAAATCACGTGCTAATCTATAGCTTTCCGAATGATTTCTAAAGCTTTGTACATATTTTGGCATCAACATCATCTATAATTTTGCTTATGCTTGTATCAGTTTTTATTTACTCACTAATATATATTATATCAAGTTAGTTTTTATTTGCTCTAATATGAATTATATCAAGTCAATCAGAATATATTATACACAAATAAGAATTATAATATTTTAACATTCAATATTGAAACAAATTTTCGGTTCACCTAATACGTTAACTTGTAATTAATTAAAAGGTTATTAGTACAGTTTGAAAGATTGGAGTTTGATTTTTAGTTTGTATACGAAGTTGTCACTTAACATATCATTCAAGATCTTGTTCTAGCACTTTCTAAGATTTTGGCTAGAAAATGATGCATAATCTATAACTATATATTATTAAGTCAAATTAACATGAATAATTAAGTTATTTTATCTCATTAAAATTATAGCCTCTAAAATGCCGAAAACATTCATCTTTCAAAATTTACACATTATTTTAGTTTACTATTATCAATAAAAAAATTAAAGCAAGAAAAAAATTAAATATTACTATAAATTATAATTGATTTTATCAAGCTTTCTATCCTACAATAGATTATATACGCTTATCTTTTTCATGTTTAATCCTTTAGGAATAATCACAATTAGTTGCGTCAAATCTTTACAATAATTTTTTGTATGTTGTTATCCTAAATATAAGTGTAAGACAGTAATTTTATTTTTAATTTAATTTTTTCTTTAATTTGAATCAAACAAACTCATTAGGTTATTTTTTTTTTCAATTTCTTTTTTACAGCAAGATGATTATATCATTTCATTAATTATGTGGACTAGTATGAAATCTAAACGCTTTTATTAGAGTAAGTATGATTGACTTGTCTATGAATAAATTTCATTGAAGAATTATGATCAAATTAAGTTTCTTTTTTACTTTAAGTTAAAATAAGATCAAGTTTAATATATATAAATATATATAAAGGAGGGTTATAATAATATCGACGTAATTTTTATTAAGTATTACACTGTTTAATAATATTATATTAAATATAAATTTTGTAAATTCAATTGTTAGATTGAAAGTTCATATCATTTTATGTTTATGTCAAATTTTGTTACAATTTGAAGGTAATCAAAATATTCATATTTTAATATATTTTGAAATGTATATATTACATCAATTTTATTTTATAAGAATGGAGTATCAAATATATATAT